ACAAACCTGCTCCAGCCTGGCTTTCGGGCCAAATATTTCCATACATCCACCTGCAATGCAGCCAGCTCACCAGTCCGAACTGAACCCAAACTCAAAGAACTACAAAAATTTGATGCAGGGAAGCAGTCATCTGCAACCCTCAACCAACACATGAGACTCATGTCAAAGAGAAACGCATGTCGTGTAGCCAAAACAACCAGAGGATAACCAGATTTTGATAACTTTGCAGATAGAACTTTGATTGTTCCTGAAAAGAGACATAAAAGTCTCAGGAAATATGTCTAACTTCCCACATGAAAAAGACATCATAAGCCATAAACCTACTACTACAAGACATAAGTCTTCCGGTATTATACAAAGACTTAAATAATATCGAGTACATGTACCTTTTGCTGATGAGCTAAGGTCCAAACTGATTAGAGAACCCAAAGAATCATGAAGGAGACACTTCTTATTGAAGAGATCCCATAAATACAAAGATCCTTTCCTTGTGACCAATAACAATTTCCAGCTCTCATCACAATCTATAAAGGTTGCTGCAGATCCCATCGTCAGGGTAGGTAATGCACGTCTTCCACACTTTGTATAAACCTTAAAAAACATAAGAAAAAAATGATTAAGGTACATTTTCTAAACAATATATGAAATTTCACAGGAAAGATTTGCTAGGCATATCAAACACATGCAAGGACCAAGTCAAAAACCCACCCTTGTAATTAGTATGGCGAAATGCCTACACAACCTCATAACACCTCAAGTCCCCAACCCCCAGAAAAATGGAAGGACAAAAAAAGTGGGAAAACCACGAACACAACATAAGAGAGCATGATACCACACAAGAAGGTGAAAAATCTCGCACCACATTCACATACAAAAAGGAAAATACAAATCTTGTCTGTCTAGGATACAATGTTCTTGCTTACCTGTAGGCACCCATCTTCACATCCCACAGCCCAGAAGTTTGCATTTCCAGCTAAAACAGAAACTTTCCCAGAGATACGATCAGACCAAAGTGTTTGAGACCCATTTGTGCAAACAATTTCTGTTTCTTCCATCATACATGCATGTCCTACACCAGCAATGTCATTCACAGCATGCTCCCTAAGATGTGCTTCCAAGAAAATTGGAGTCATATCCTCGCCTTCTTTCTTGTCAAAAACCCTAATTGAAAGAGACGTGGTAGAGGAAGCAGTGGAACTTGAAGGCTTCATGCTCCCAGACTTGACGCCATGCTCTTGACCTGCAGAGACAGGAACTTTCTCAATAACCAGGTTGTCAGTAACAGTTGCCCTGGCAGTGATCCCAGATCGCTCCTTTAAGTCCAAGCTTCTACCAATGGTTCCCCTGACAGACGCTTCTATCAAACCACCACCAGTCGGAACTACACTATTGTCCTTTTTTCTGTGAACGGAAGATGCAACAGGGAAATCTAGTGCAGGAGATTGAGCATTGCCACAAATATTTTCCTGCTGAATTGGCACACCGACTACTTCAGGAATGATCCTCTTTTTACCATCAGTGTGTCTGTGCTCTCTTTGTTTCACAGGACTAGAAATTAGAGCAGGACTCTTTGCTTTATTTAATCCATTACTAGCAGCAGGCTCGCTCTTCTTCGCATTATCATTCTGAGGCTCAGCAATTTTGTTTGTTACTCCCAACTCGACAGAAGGTTTTGCAGGTATCTGATTCGGCTGAACATCCAAAGCTACTTTTTTACTAGTACTTTGCTTGGCTGAAGCAACTTCAAGCAATAATTGTGCTGGGCTCTCCAACAAATTAGCCTGTCGACCTCTAATGTCACCATAGCGACTTTTCTTAAATTCATCAAGTTCAGCATCACTTAGCCTGTGGCCAAGTTCTTTTGCTTCAAAATGGAAAGTAGCCACTGTCCCATCCAATGAACAAGCAAAGAGAGAATAACCATCAGAGCTCCTGTTTATGAAAAGAGGTTACTATTAAGAGATACAGAAAAAATGGCACAAAAGAAGAGCAAACAAATGTGTGAATAAATGACAAAACTATATACCATTCACTAAAGTGAAAACTTTACCAGGATAAATCTACAACACTTTGGGCAAAGAAATGTTTGGCTACAAAGAGAGGTCGATGACTTGCAGTTGTCCACACAGTTATAGTACGGTCCTGGCTTCCAATAGCAATAACATTATATGGCTGTGATTCATTACCCCCGATCTTAGCAGCTCCACTTGCCCAGCCAACAGGTGCAGCAGCTTTCACTTCCTGTGAATTGGCAAAATTCCTTCTGAACATTGAGTGATTAAATTTCACTACAATAATCGGGGCATTGTGACCTAAGAAGTCAAATGTGGCAGCCCATTCCCCTCTCTCTAAAACAGGTGCAGAATGCCTTGGCTTTTGGTAACCATGGGTGGTAGTTATGAAATGACCACAAGGTGACCATCCAAGTCGCCTGAAAAACGTTGATCCCAGCTGAAAAGAACATATTTCCATCAGAAAATGAAACAGTGTTCAAGAAAAAAAGAAAATTTCCCCACCACAGATTAACATACTGATTTTGCCCAATGGCCCACTGTTCTATGAGCAAGACTCCAGTCACTTGTTCGCCATATTATGACTGTCTTGTCATCAGACTGACTTGCTATGAACGACCCAATGGGATCCCAGGCAACTCCTTTAACGAGACTAGAATGACCCCTCAGCACTGCTGTGCAGATGCCATTGCTCATATTCCATATATGGACGGTGTTGTCCAAACTGCCACTAGCCAATATTGAGTCATCAGGAGACCAATTAAGATCCACCTACTTCAAACGAGAATAAATGGAGCTTCCAAGTCAGAAGATAGCCAGTGCTTATATGAAATCACTAAAATAAATTAAGGGGGTGCATACAACATTACAGTAGGGAATTTCAACCATCTATCCTTATTATAACTTATCACCAAAACGAAACAAACACAAACTAAAAAGTACAGCATTAGCAATTTGTGTAGTGACAAAAAGATACTGCAGAAACTGCATGCTTTTTTCAAAGAACGAAAAATCAATCAATATGCAGCAGAATAAAACTAACTACAAGATAGAAATTGGAGAGTTGAGTTCTTATCGCTGGTAAAATGTCCTAACATTAAGAGCATTATGATTACCACATCTGCAGTGTGTCCCCTCAGTGTCATTGCAACTTTCCAATTTTCGACATCAGGAGGCTCTCCACTGCCAAATTCAGTGGTTCCAGAACCAGGCTTTCTCTCATGAATTAGAATTACTTGATCATCGGACCCAGATGCAAAGTAACGTCCATGCTTAGCCCACCTAACACAGTTGACAGACCCAAAGTGGTCACGCAAGGTTGCAAGAAGCCTTTGTGTAGATTCATCGTTTTCCAAGTCCCTGCCAACAGATTTTAAGTTCCAAATTCGAACCTGCATTTTTCAGCCGATATAAAAACAGTGAAATTTAAAGAACTAAAAAGTAACAAACGATCTAACACACGAATGGAAGATTCTATTTGTCAGCAAACTTAGATAACCCCTGCTCATATCATTGTAGGATATAAAAGCTAACTCTGCAACAATGATCACCTCTAGCAGTAGAAACCCAAAGACAAACGAGATATGTAAGTGTCAAGAAAGGAAATTTTACCTTGTGGTCACCTCCGCCAGTGGCAAACCTAAGACCACCAGGCTGAACATCAATGGAGAATATCTGCATTCCCTCGTGCCTAACCCAACTTGGTTTCTCAGCAATCATCTTTCTCACCTTTGGCTACTTCACATAATCCTCTCAGTTTCTGCTTCTGGTTACATTATGTCTGGTTAAAACTCAGGCAAATACTAATAAAGTTCATAGCGTTCCAACGAGGGAAAAGAACCCACCAACAGCTAAGAACGAAAATTAAATATAATGGCTCTTGGCCACCTAAAACGTATAAACATTTAAAAAAAATAGCGGAAAATGATCAAAATCCAGAAAAAGAGCACTCTACCTTGTATTACGGAGAACCCAGAAAGGAAACTATGAAAATCTAGGGGTTTGCAGTGCTTTAGAAGCGAAGAAGCAAGGGTCCAGGTACGAGAAAGCGGAGACGATTTTTTGAACAAAAAAGGTTTTTCACCCAATGTATTTCTAAAACTTAACTAAAAGAAAAGGTTTTTCACCCAATGTATTTCTAAAACTTAACTAAAAGAATGCTAATAAAAGGTTTTTTTTTTTTGTATTTTTTGGTAAGAAGAAAAGCCCTAGTTCGATTACGAAGGAGGTAAGAGAGACCAAAAGATCTACAAGTAAAAGGATATAACTTGTTTATTAAAATTTCAAAGATAAAGGAACAAGAGTTTATAATTTATGAATTAAGATTTAATCTAACAAATATTGGTTCACGAAATTCTTTTAAAATATAATATCCAATAAAAGTTTTAACTTTGAATCCCAACAATTATATTTACTTTTCCAAAACACGTTATTTTATATGGAATTATCAGATTGGTGATAATTAAAACACAAAACAAATTCAATCATCATGAAAGATATGTTTTTTTATTATTATTATTGATATCAAGATAATCCCTGTCTGCAGAATGATGAACCCCCTAAGGTAAACGCCACACCACGTTATTAATTAGATAGTTTATGTAATAAGCCAATTCAGTTACACGTATACATTTTGTGACCAAAGATCAAATCCTATAGACAGTAGGATTTTTATGAACCAATATGGTATCAGAAAATAGACCCTTTGATATTTTCAGAAGTGACATAATTGCACAAACCAAAGAAAAAGAGCCTCAAACATGACACCATACATGCCAAAATCCATATACTACATATTCATATAATACGAATATACTGAAAAAATCAAATTTACCCCAAATCCAGTACCCCGCCCCTAACCCACACTGTAAAATAAATAAACAAGCATTCAAAGAACTTCCCTTCTTTCCCCATCCGGCAGCAATGGCCAATGCTTCAAATGATACCTGAAAGTTCAAAAGCATTTGAAAAACACATGCCATCATTATGTGAAAAAGGGCACAACTTATATTCAAGTGTTTGAAGCCAAATTTTTTCAGAGTAATGTTCTTTACACAGTAAAAAGAGACGAGCAATGGACTAAGTGCCGAAACGTTCTTTGCATCTGAATACAGAAAAGGGAAGTTAAGTCACCTTCCCTGCTTGACCAAGCTAAATAGCAACAATTCCTTGGATGGATGATCCAGCGGTTATTAATAGAATACAAATTACAATGATCGCACGCACAACCGGAGAGTAGATCAATGTGACGTATTCATCAAAGCCATCAGCCCTCTTCTCCAAACTCGTTTGTGAATCTTTCATGGACCTCCAGATCAGATTTGCTCACCGTTGGCCTCTGTCTAGCAAGCACCTTATCAAAATCTGATCTCTAAATAGGAGGTGGAAGGATCTGCAGGATCATTAATCAATGAAAACGATCAATCATTCATTAAATGATATATTTATTGCATGACAGAATACTAATTACAATTCCAGTTTTTTTTTTTGAAATACCCTATAGAAATTGTTACTTTTTTTTTATTTTCTTTTCCATGTAAGGAAAAAAAATGGTGAATTTCAAAAGTAAATAGGAAACAATCAGACCAAAGTGTAAAAAGAATTCGTAAACACAGCTTCTAGAGCAAACTCCATACCTGTGCTGCAAGTCCTTTGGCTGCCAATTCCTGCATTGTAATTTGGACAGCACCTGGTTGTTTTGGTCCACATGGCATCCACATGTCATTAGGCGTCTTGTAGAAAAACACCGCATCTTGGGTTTTACGAACAGGTTCAAAAAGAACATCCTTAACCTGTCAAGACAAAGCACAAGTGAGTTAATATCAACCTTTCATATTAAGATCCAGTTTTGAGAGAGAACTAGGCGATGGGAGAATAAGAAAACATGATTTAAGCATCTGGCATATATTTTGCACATACAAAAACAGATATATCTGACCCTGAAAATCCCTCTGTTCGTCGAGCTAAGCTTTCAAAATCACTTCCAGTCAAGTTGTGAGGAGTATCACCTAAATGCACCTGTTGCAATTTATTGCACCAAAGCAAGAAAACCATGTTAATGATACAAAAGTAACTGAAAGATTTTATAAAAGGAAGTCAAAACAATAAAAAAACCAAGCATTTTTCTTTCTTTTTTCCGATTATTATGGATAAGGTCTAGTACCTTGAACATATGTTGTCGAGCCTTCAGATCAGGCAGAGGAATGTAAATACGCTTATCAAAACGGCGGCTGATGGCCTAAAGAATAATTGATTAACAAAAGAAATCCATCTCAGCCGATTCAAGATGAATATATACAAAATATATGATGTTATTATCTTTCACCTGATCAAGTGCATAGGGAGTATTCGTTACTGCAAGAACTAGGACTTTCTGATCATTATTTCCAACACCCTAAAACATAGAAATAACAATGTATAAATTAGTAGAAAAACCCTTTTGGATCTAGTATTAATATTTATGAACCGCAAACAAGCCTTTTGGTGAGCTTAAAAATTGAAGACCAAAGAATTTACACCAAATCCTGAAGATAAAAATGAAAACTGTTTGGAGATTGTAACAACATATTTCATATGAAAATAATATCTTGAAAAAACTTGGACAAAGCAATCTTAAATTATTCTTAGCACATTCACCCGCTGAAAAATACCTGCATCTGCACAAGAAGTCCAGTTTTGATTCGTCTTGATGCTTCGCTCTCATCGCCCTCACCTCGTTGACCACACAAGGAATCTGTTGAAGAATAGGGTAAAGAAAACGAAAGAACACAAGAATTTTAACGAGGTTCGGCAATGTTGGATATATGAACTGCAAAACTACACCGTTAGCATTGACTGGAAATATAAACAGTAATTAAAAATAACAAATTCGTAAATCGTGTCGTGGTAAAAACCACTGCCTTAGAAACGAATTCGCCCCGATGTGTGTAATCGCTGCAGTAGGCGGACCGTCCCCCGAGGTTAACACGGTCGCTCTGAATTCCGTACACCCGAAACTGGAGTGGACTGCTGGTGGTATTGCTCTTCTGATTGGAAAACACTCAGAGAGAACTCACAGAGAGAACTGCAGAAAACACTTTTGTAAGTGAATTGTGAAAGTTTTTTAGAGTGAGTTGAGAAGCTGAATATAACTTTCTATTTATAGGCTAGAAATAGGGTTAATATCGTCCATAAAATTTCAGGATTAAATCTCTTCTTTTGTAACAGCTGAAACGTCTTGATGAACCTGACTCAAAAATAGTCCAGGTTCATTGCATCATTATTCAGCTGTTATAACTCCTTAAATTATATCATGTCACCCCTGAAATTAAATCAAATAACATCTGTAACTCATGATATTAACAGCTTGTCTCCTTTGTACAAAGCTGTAAATCAGTCCAGATACATCTTAACGTTTTTGATTTAATTTAGGAAAAAGCTGTTTAATTTCTGATAACTCAAATCAGTTGTTATCATTTGAAATTTAAACAGTCCTCAACAACCTATAAATATCAGTTGAAATCTTTCACATTTTCCATTTGTTTATTTCAAAGAGAAATTCCTCAAGAATTTTCTCTAAAAAGATAGTATCTGCGCGGACGTGTCGAAGACACGTATTACCACGACCACGACCACGAGTTGAGCCGAGCCGAGACGAGACGAGAGGAACGGCGGCGGCGACGGTGCGCGATAGTCCCCCTTGTTCTCTATCACGGTGTGCGAGAGTCCCCCTTGTTCTCTATCACTCAACAAGGAAGTGGGAAAGCCAAGCCTTAAATACCATTCCCAATAGTGTTTCCAATACTATGTGGGATTGAGCATTACCAACATTCCCCCACTAATGTGAAAGAAATCTTCTGAAACTCGAAAACAAACTTTTCAGAAGAGCAATAGCGAGATTAGTTGCTTAAGCACTAGTGAACGTATCTGGAACTAGTACATAGTGATGATGAGCAATCCTTCTCTTAGATAAGTGAAACTAGTCTGGAACTTTCTAAGATCAGAGTAAACTCATAATACACAACTAACCCCTTCATCCACCTGAGTCCTCGATGTGTAAGATATATATATACAAAGTATATATTTGGCCATCTTACCTCAGGATTCTAGTAAGTGTGCTAGAAAAATGGCCCAACATTTTTCATAGAAGGCGGCTAACCCTTCTCACTTACATAGGTTATTTCATCAAGTTTATCTCAACATAAACCACCCTTTAAAAAGGGATATGAAATAATTAAGAGCTTTTATAATAGTTCAACCTCACAAAGGGTATGGTGACTTTCTTCAAGTTCATTATTAATGAACCACCCAAACTCTGGGCTAAGAAGTCATTAAGAATAAATATTCAACCTCATTTATCGATAAATTCAGTAAGTCCTTCTTACTAGAACCATCCAAATACTTGGATTTGAATTTATTAAGAGTTTAACAAACTCAACCTTTCTGTAGGTAAGTTCATCATTTCCTACCCACTCACTCTGGGTTATGAACTTATTAAGAATAGATATTCAACCAAAATCGGTAAATTCATTAAGTCTTTCTCACTAAGACCACCCAAAGCCTGCGCTATGAATTTATTAAGAATAATTAAGCTCATCCTGGGCATGCACATTATTCATCATAGGGATAGGCAGTAGAAATGTGCACTATGAGTCTTTCCATGGTTTCGTTTGACCACCTGGAACTTAGATAACTAAGTTGGGTATCCACCATGAATTCCTCAATCAATGGGCTTTAGACTCATCCCCCTCGACGAATCTAGGACCAGCTTCCGACTTAACCCTTTGGTAAGTGGATCTGCTAGGTTCTTTTCCGACTTCACATACTCTAAAGAGAGCACTCCATTATTTATTAAGTGTCTCACTGACTCATGTCTTATACGAATGTGTCTTTTCTTACCATTGTAAGCTTGGTTCTTAGCCACACATATCGCAGCTTGTGAATCACACAATAATGAAACTGGAGGAGTCGATCTTCCCCATAACGGAATATCTGCTAACAAACTTCTGAGCCACTCTGCTTCTTGCCCAACTAGGTCAAGAGCTATAAACTCTGACTCCATAGTAGAACGAGCAATACAAGTCTGCTTTGATGATTTCTATGAGATTGTTGCTCCACCCAAAGTAAAAACATACCCACTCGTAGAGCTTACCTCATTATTATCAGAAACCCAGTTGGTATCACAATATCCTTCCAGTACCGCAGGAAAGCCAACAAACTCAAGTTTCCATTCCAAAGTACCCTTAAGATACTTTAGTAAGCGTTTAAGAGTAATCCAGTGCTCACCACTCGGATTATGAGTATATCTACTCAGTCTACTCACAACATAAGTAATATCAGGCCGAGTATAGTTCATTAAGAACATTAAGCTTCCGATTAACTTAGCATATTCAGTTTGGGAAACGCTACTTCCTTTATTCTTAACTAGATGTATGCTAGGGTCATAAGGAGTTCGAACAGGGACGACATCAAAACTGTCAAATTTCTTTAGCACTTTCTCTATATAATGTGCTTGACATAAAGAAAATCCCTTCTCATTTTTGGTAACTTTGACTCCTAAGATTACATCTACTTCTCCCAAATCTATCATCTCAAACTTAGTGGACAAGAAATTTTTAACTTTGTTAATGGACTCAATGTTATAACTGAAAATCAACATGTCATCAACATAAAGACTTATGATAATACATTCAGTGTCAAACATCTTCGAATACACACAAGCATCCGAACCATTCACAACAAAACCAAAACTAAGAATAGTTTTATGAAATTTCTCATACCACTGTTTAGGAGCCTGCTTAAGTCCATAGAGTGACTTTTTGAGTTTACAGACTTTGCCTTCCATACCAGGTGCTTCAAAACCTAGTTGCTGCTCCATGTAAATCTCCTTATCTAGATCTCCATTCAAGAAAGCAGTCTTAACATCCATTTGATGTACCTGTAACTTATGAATAGAGGTTAGTGCAAATAATGAACGAATCGTTGAGATTTTTGTAACGGGAGAATATGTATCAAAGTAGTCTAAACCAAACCTTTGAGTGAACCCTTTGACGACTAACCTTGCCTTGTACCGCTGAATCGAACCATCTAGCCTTAGTTTCTTCCGGAAGACCCATTTGTTGGAGATTGATTTGAATCCCTTAGGCAAGTCAACTAATTCCCAAGTATGATTAGACATTATCGATTCTAGTTCATCATTAACAACGCTTTTCCAAAAACTAGTATCGATAGATCTTATTGCTTCTTCAAAAGTTTTAGGATCCTCATCTAACAGAAAAATTTGAGCTATAGGATCTGAAATGGAGTCTAAATCATTTATCTCATAAATAAAGGAAGTAATAATGTCTGGTCCAAAAGAGGTTTCAAATCTTTGCCTTTTACTTCTTCTAGGCTCGAAATCAATTTGTTCAGAAGACCTAGCAGGATTACTAGAAGAAGTGGATGAAATATATTCTATTCGTGTTTCAATATTCATTCTCGGTTACTTTAAAGGAAAAGTATTTTCAAAGAAAACAACATCCCTTGACTCACAAATAGAATAATCTTGTAAAAGCATGAATCTGTATGTAGCACTATTCGTAGCATACCCTATAAACACTACATCAACAGTTTTAGGTCCGATGGTGGACTTCTTAAAGTCTGGCAAACCCACTTTGGCCAGACACCCCCACACTTTCAGGTATTATAAATTAGGAGCGTATCCTTTCCACAATTCATATGGGGTAGAATCTAATTTCTTATGAGGAACTCGGTTCAAGATATGAGTTGCCGATAGAATGACTTCCCCCCACATGTTATTAGATAACCCTGAACTTATTAGTAAAGAATTCATCATCTCTTTTAAAGTTCTATTTTTCCTTTCGGCTATACCATTCTATTGAGGAAAATAGGGGGCTGAAGTTTCATGAATTATGTCATTCTTTTCACAAATATCTTTTAAGAAATTAGATCCATATTCACCACCTCTATCAGATCTAACCCGTTTGATTCTCCTATCTAACTGATTTTCTACTTCTGCCTTATAAATAAGAAAGAAGTTTTCAGCTTCATCTTTAGTTCTTAGGAGATAAACTTTTGTATATCTTGAATAATCATCTACAAAAGTTATGTAGTAGTATTTTTCTCCTTTACTTTCAGTGTTTCTAAAATCTGCTAGATCAGTATGAATGAGTTCTAACAGTTCAGTCTTTCTATTAGAAACAGTCTTAAAGTGAGGTCTAGTATGCTTAGCTTCTACACAAATCTCACATTTGTTAAAGCTAGTTGTGTCTAGTTTAGGCAGAACATTCATATTCATTAATTTCTTTAAAGCATGAATATTCACATGTCCTAATCTAGCATGCCACATATCAATGGATTCAACAATATAAGCAGAAGTGGTAGCTTTATTTTCATTAAATTGAGTTTCTATGACAAATAAACCATTGCTTAAAAACCCTTTCCCCACATAATCATCATTTCGGGAAAGTACAAGTTTATCTGCCTCAAAAACTAACTTAATGCCTGCCTTATTCAGAAGCCCACCACTTATCAAATTTCTATGCAAGGCATGTACATACAGAACATTATTTAAAGCCAGAGTTTTCCCAGAAGTCATCTTGAGTAAAACCTTGCCTTTTCCTAGCACTTCAGAACTGCTAGAGTTCCCCATATACACACGTTCACCAGTGTTCCCATCCTCGAACTCGGTGAAAAAATCCTTTCTTGCGCAGAAATACTTCAAAGCGCCAGTGTCAACTACCCATTCTGAACTGTTCTCCACCAGATTAACTTCTGAGACCACCGCAACAATGATCTCATCATCTTCTTCTACAACGTGCATCTGTGGCTTGATGTCATTCTGGCGGTCTGAGCGGTGTTGGCATTGGTAAGCTTTGTGGCCGGGTAAACCGCAGACATAACACTTGAACGTCTTTTCTTCCGGTTTGGCCTTTCCTGACTTCTTGAAGTTGGTAGCCTTCTGTGGTTTCGTCTTCTTGTCTTGATTCCCACGTTTCATGATCTTCTTATATTTAGACTCAACCAAGTTAGCTTTAAAAGATAAATTACTCATAGAATTAGTAAGCTTATCTTTTAAACGGTTGGCTTCTTCAATCTTCATATGGCCCACAAGTTCTTCAAGCGAAATGTCTCTCTTCTTATGCTTAAGAGAGTTGCGGTAGTCGGACCAGGACTTGGGCAGCTTCTCAATGAGTACATTGGCTTGCAGCACCTCACACATTTGCATCCCTTCAGCGATGATGTCAGCGACTAAGTTTTCATAGTCATGGACTTGATCCATTATTGGCTTGTCGTCTGTCATCTGGAATTTGAGCCATTCGCCAACAACGTACTTCTTGATGCCCGCATCGTCTGCACCATACTTTTTGTCGAGAGTGTCCCATATTGCCTTGGCACTCCTTTCTCTAAGGAACATATCAAATAGTTTATTTGACATGTGGCTGAGCATATGTCCTCGTACTGTCTTGTTGTTTTTCTCGTATTTCTCGTAGGTAGCGAGAGCGGCGGCGGCGGTTGCTAAGGCATCATCATTGAGGACCACATCCGCATCATTACCGGCAGTTGGAGTTGGCGGCATGGTAGGTGGTGGCTTGAGCAGCACGTAGTCAAGATCAAGCTACTCGAAGAATATCAGGATTCTTTGGGACCACCTTCTATAATTCTTTCCATCAAGTGCATCGAGCTTAGAAAGATCGGGGATTAGTTTGCTCAAAGGTGTTGTCATGATTATAGTATATGGAATTCGTTTCTAAATTGTTGGATATATGAACTGCAAAACTACACCGTTAGCACTGACTGGAAATATAAACAGTAATTAAAAGGAACAAATTCGTAAACCGTGTCATGGTAAAAACCACTTCCTTAGAAACGAATTCGCTCCGATGTGTGTAATCGCTGCAGTAGGCGGACCGTCCCCCGAGGTTAACACGGTCGCTCCGAATTCCGTACACCCGAAACCGGAGTGGACTGCTGGTGGTATTGTTCTTCTGATTGGAAAGCACTCAGAGAGAACTCACAGAGAGAACTGTAGAAAACACTTTTGTAAGTGAATTGTGAAAGTTTTTTAGAGTGAGTTGAGAAGCTGAATATAGCTCTCTATTTATAGGCTAGAAATAGGGTTAATATCGTCCATAAAATTTCAGGATTAAATATCTTCTTTTGTAACAGCTGAAACGTCTAGATGAACCTGACTCAAAAATAGTCCAGGTTCATTGTATCATTATTCAGCTGTTATAACTCCTGAAATTATATCATTTAACCCCTGGAATTAAATCAAATAACTCCTGTAACTCCTGATAACTCATAAATCAGTTGTTATCATTTGAAATTTAAACCGTCCTCAACAGCCTATAAATATCAGTTGAAATCTTTCACATTTTCCATTTGTTTCTTTCAAAGAGAAATTCCTCAAGAATTTTCTCTAAAAAGATAGTATCATTCGACACGTATTACCACCACCACCACCACCACCACCACGAGCCGACCCGAGCCGGGACGGCGGCGGCGGCGGTGCGCGAGAGTCCCCCTTGTTCTCTATCACTCAACAAGGAAGTGGGAAAGCCAAGCCTTAAATATCATTCCCAATAGTGTTTCCAATACTATGTGGGATTGAGCATTACCAACAGGCAATGTACTTACGTCCTCGGTGCCTAGACGGTGCTAGAAGTTTTATTCAATGTCTCATAAGTTTAGGTTTAGGTTACATCTCTATTTATAATAAAAAACCTGATACATAACTAACGAATATGATGGAAGGAGCACTATCACGAGCCATCTGGAAAAGGTTTGAAACCAGCTTTTCACTTTCTCCCATCCACTTTGACACAAGGTCTGACGAAGAAACACTAGCAGAGAAAGAAGGGGGGAAAAGAATTAAATTTCAAAAGCAAAACAAGCAGAAACCTAGCAAACATGCACATATATAGAACAGATGTATATAGAAAATTAAATACCACAAAAAAAGTTTGAAAATATAATTAAATGTGATTCAAAAAGGTAAAGTTATTATTATACATGAATGGATTCTGCTACCCTTGCACTCTTTAAGGTTAGTTAATATTCTATTTATAGTGATAGTGTTAGTTGACAGGTGGTGACTACATGCCTAACTCAATGACACAGAAAATGGCACAACTGCTAACATATCTTCGAGGTTACATTAGATTTCCCAACAACCATCCTAACTCACCAATATAAATAGTTTTACAGGGAAACACTAATCACACAAGGCATCTTTTTAAAACTCCCATATCCTCAAGACCTCCACATCAATGGATGTTATACATTATAATTGTATGGCTATAATAACTGTGCAAGCCTAAGCCCATTCCTGAAGCACACAATGAAAAATTCTTATCATTGTTATCTTAATCGTTACATCTATTTTTGTTTTCCTTCAAATAACTAATATTACTACCTGACGTGGTAAAGTTTTGAAGTAATCTACCAATGTCGTCATTTTATTGGACTCGGTACTGGCAATTAAAAATAACAAAAGAAAGTTTCTAGAGTAGGAGAAAGTAAATCAAGGTACGTGAAAGACATAGCACTTCAATGTGATTTGAATTACGATAGAAGAGTTCAAAATAGTAAATCTAGTTGCCAAAAATCTCAACAAAAGCAAATGTAGGCTTTATTTGCGCTTGAAAACCTTACTAGAAAAAATCTTAGCAGAAACAAAATTAGGATTTATCCGTGAGTTGTTTTTATGTGCAGATCGAGGCTAAATAAATTTGTTTACCTGAAAAATGTAGAGTCTACTTCAGTAGCAACAGCCTTGGCTAAGTATGATTTCCCAGTCCCAGGAGGCCCGTACAAAAGAACTTGAATGAGGCCTTACCTTTGGGGAAAAAACCTAGAAAAGATGATGGTTTACCACAGGCCACCAGCGAATATGACAATAGAATGGATCTTGACGGGATTGATGAAATCATGAATGAAGCAACAGCGAGTCTACCGGATCAAATCCTGGAGTACACGGTGTACAGTGATACAACTGAGGATGCAGCGCAGACTACAAAACCATGCTTCAGGGATATGGTCATTGGAAACAATGGATCACAGAAGAAAGATAATTTCATAGCAGACCTTGATGTCGATCTATCTGAAGGGGGTGTTCAAGTTAGTATGGAAGGAAACATACCAGAGATATGCTTTTCTAAAAGAGTGCATAACTCGATTGATGAAAAGCTCTCTAAATCGGTTATTGTTCAATAGTTGAGGAAGAAAATTGGATATAATGCTTTGTGGAACTGCATCCAAATTTTGTGGAGGCCTGCTGGGGAGATGCAATTGGTGAATCTTGATAATGAATATTTCATCGCCTGCTTTGCTCTTGAAAACGACTTCCTTAATGTGCTTACTAGAGGACCCTGGATGGTGTACGGTAGATACCTTACGGTACAGCTTCGGTCGAGAAGTTTTTCTATAGTGGAAGATCATCCGAGAGCGATACTGGTGTAAAGTCAACAATGGTGGGAGGGAGCACCGCCTAAATGCATGGGTTTTCAACAAAGGGACACCGAATTCGGTGCCCAAATTTTTTTATCGAAATGTAATAGGGTTAATTATATTTTAGTCTCTGCATACTTTAGGATATTTACAAGATTAGTCCTAAACTTCAACTATAAATACACTAACCCATTTAGTTTCAAAATTATCCCAAATCATTTCTTTCTCCCAACACTAAAGAGTTTAGAGAGTTTTATTGTGAGTTGTGAGTGTTTTGTAAACACCTGTAAATTTTCTCTCTTTAGTAAAAGATCTGCAGCAGTCTGGAGACGTAGACAAAATTGGTTGAACTCCGTTATCAATTTCGGGTATTATTTTTCCGCTTTTATTTCGTATTCTCACTAATCTAGTTATAGGGAAATTACTCGGTTATTTCCCAACAACTGACATCAGAGCTTTTGGTGGTGAATTTTGTCGGTTTTTTATGAGGTTACTATTCATTACTATTCACATAAATAGTGAATTTTGTGAATAGTAAAAATTTTGTCGGCGATACGAATATGTCGACGGAGGTGTTCTAATACACGGTGGTTCGCATAAATTGTCAGAAACGATCCAAACGAAGTCAGATTCGAGTGGGAGCGATGGTTGCAGACGAAGGGAATGTGAAAATTGAGAAGTTCGATGGTGTAGATTTTGACTTTTGGAAGATGTAGATTGAAGATTTTTTGTACCAGAAAAATCTATATCAACCTCTCTCAGGAAAGTAACCAAAGGGCATGAAGAATGAAGACTGAGCTCTTCTCGACAGACAAACCCTCGGAGTTATCCGATTGACGTTATCCCGCAAGCTTTCAACATAACAAAGGAAAAGACCACGGTGGGTCTTATGGCGGCTCTCTCTAGTATGTATGAGAAGCCATCGACCTCAAACAAAGTTCACTTGATGAGACGATTATTCAATTTACGGATGGCGGAAGGGGCATCAGTGGCTCAACACCTAAATGAACTCAACACAATTACAACCCAGTTGAGTTCCGTGGAAATTGAATTCGATGATGAAGTTCGAGCTTTAATTATCTTATCAACTCTACCAGATAATTGGAATGCTACTGTTACAGCAGTCAGCAGCTCGTCGGGAAACAACAAATTAAAATTCGGCGATGTTCGAGATTTGATATTGAGTGAAGAAATTTGACGGAGAGAATCGGGAAAAGCATCAACCTCCTCAGCATTGCACACGGAGTCAGAGGGAGAACTTCATAAAGAAATTCAAATCGTGGCAGATCGAAATCTAGAAGGGAAAAATCAATAACATGAAAGAAAGATTTTACCTGTTATAATTGTGCAAGAATGATCACTTTAAAAGAAATTGTCGAGCACCGAAGAAATATATCGGCGCACAGGAATCTGCCAACATGACAGAGGAGACAGGTGATGCCATGATTCTAAGCGTTAACAGTCCGATTGAATCATGGATCTTAGATTCAGGGGCATCTTTCCACTCCACCCCATGCCAAGAAATCATAGAGAACTATGTCAGTGGTGATTTTGGGAAGGTTCATCTAGCTGATAATGAAACCTTGAAGATCATCGGAAAAGGAGACATTCGATTAAAGTTGCCAAACCAGACCACCTGGAAGCTGAAAGGAGTGAGACATATTCCTGGCCTCAAAAGAAATTTAATTTCTGTAGGACAGCTTGATGGAGAATGATATAGTACAACCTTTTCAGGCTGTGAATGGAAGTTACCAAAGGAGCACTCGTTATTGCTCGTGGTAAGAAGACTAATACTCTCTATGTGACCTCAAATTTAGAGAATATCTTTGCAGTAGCAGATGCTGATGGAAAATCAAACCTATGGCACCAAAGGCTTGGCCATATGAGCGAGAAACGGATGAAGACACTTTTGTCAAAAGGGAAGCTACCGAATCTAAAGAATATAGATGTCGAACTATGTGAGGATTGCATATTTGGAAAACAAAATAAAGTCAGTTTTGCAAAGATTGACAAGATACCCAAGGTTGAAAAGTTAGAGTTGGTTCATACTGATGTATGGGGACCATCTCCAGTTCCATCTCTTACGAGCTCACTATATTATGTTACCTTCATCGGTGATTCTACAAG